TTTGCTTACAACAAATTTTATCTTAAATAAAATTCCACATAAGAAGACTAATAAGTCACTTTATGAAGTGTGGAAAAAGAAGTTACTCTCATATAAAATACTGAAAGTGTGAGGGTGTTTGGCAAAGGTACAGGTTCCTTTACCTGAAAGAACAAAATTTGGACCTAAGACAGTTGATTGTGTCTTTATAAGCTATATTATGCATAGTGCTGCTTATAGATTCTTTATTAATAACAATACTATTGTGGAATCTATTGAAGTTGAATTCTTTGAGGATATATTTCCTTTTAAAGAAGAAAGACCAGAAGGTAATGGTGCCTAAAGAAATCATGAGGCTAGCTCTTCGAAATGTCAAATCGATCGGTAAACTGATATCGAACCTAGAAGAAGCAAAAGATCTAAGAAAGCTACTTCCTTTGGACCTAATTTCATAACTTATATGACAGAAGGAGAGCCTCAAAATTTTCAAGAAGTTGTGTCATCTCCGAATGCACCTTATTGGAGAGAAACTATCAATAGCAAGAAAGAATCAATTTTGCAATACAATACCTAAGTATTGGTTGATTTACCTTATGGAACTAAACCAATTGGAAGTAAATGGATTTTCAAAAGAAAGCTAAAAGCTTATGGCACTATTGATAAATATAAAGTCTATTTAGTAGCTAAAGGCTATCATCAGAAAGGACTAGATTTCTTTTATACATATTCTCCAGTGATGAGGACTACATCTATAAGGATGTTAATTGCTATAGCAGCTTTACAAAATTTGGAAATACATCACATGGATGTAAAAAGTACATTTTTAAATGGAGATTTAGATGAATAGATCTATATGGAACAACCTGAAGGGTTTGTTGTAAAATAACTTGAAAATAAAGTTGGTAAACTTGTCAAGTCTCTTTATAGGTTGAAACAAATACCAAAACAATGACATGAGAAGTTTGATCACACTATGTTATCTAATGGATTTAAGATAAATGAGTGTGATAAATGTGTCTATGTTAAAACCATAGATCAAAATTGCGTCATTGTTTGTTTATATGTGAATGATATGTTGATAATGAGCACAAGTAGAAGTGTCATTGATTCCACTAAAAGGATGTTAAATTCCAACTTTGATATGAAAGATTTTGGTCTTGCTGATGTTATCATTGTAATTAAAATAATGAGAAATCCAAGTAGATATATACTTTCTCAATCTCATTACATAGAGAAAGTGTTGAGAAAATTTGCTCATTTTGAGAGTAAGCCGGTAGTTACTCATTTTGATCCAAATTGTAAGTTGAAAAAGAATAATGATGAAGGTGTATATTCTCTGGAATACTCTAGAGTTGTGAGTAGTTTAATATATATAATGAATTGTACAAGACTTGATCGCCTACTTGGTAGGAAGATTGCAAGATACACTAGCAATCTTGGACATGATCATTGGGCATGCATTAGTTAGAGTTTTAAAGTATTTGAAGTACACTTTAGACTATAAATTACATTATACGAAATATTCATCTGTACTGGAAGGATTTAGTAATGCTAATTGGATCTCTGATAGCATGGAAAATAAGTCAACCAGTGGGTATTACCTTAGGTGGAGCAACTGTGTCATGTAAATCTTCAAAACGGACATGTATAGCACGGTCTACTATGAAATATGAGTTTATAGCTCTTGATAAGGTTGGAGAAGAAGCAGAATATGACTTCGAAACTTTCTTGAAGATATTCCATTGTGGCCGAAGCTTGTAAGTTTCATATGTATTTATTGTGACAACTTAGCATCAACGAGGGCTAAGAACAATGTCTACAATGGGAAATCACGACACATACGACGCAGACATAATTCTATTAAACAATTGCTCTCTGATAGAAAAATTTCTATTAATTATATAAAATCAAAAGAAAATATTGTAGATCCTTTAACGAAAGGATTGTCGTGAGAGCAAGTTGCATATACATCGAGGGAAATGAGGCTAAAGCCTATGAAATGATGTATTTGGTGGTAACCTAACCTAGGTGACTGAAGATCCCATGATCTAGGTTCAATAGGCAAACTAGTTTGATAATTCATAGTTGACATACTAAGAAACTAATAGTTTCTTTTCATTTCTATGATGTTATATGTGTAATCTGTGGATGTTAAGGTCATATTGATATCTTGATTACAAGAGGGGTAGTGATAGAATACTCTTAATCAATATCACCTATATGAGAGTATAATTGGATCGATTTTATGAGAACTTTTCAAACGACTTATGTTCTCTAAAGCTCTCATGAATTTAGGATCTTGTCCATGACCAAAATTGGTACAACCGTATAGAACTCAAAGATACAAGATAAGTTATGTGTGATATTTTTTTGTCTCAATTTATCATGAGAAGGATAGTTTCAGAGCTAGTTCTCACTATTTCTTCGGTAAATTCGATAGATATTCACTAAGGAAGGTTCAAGTCCAAAAGACACCTCTCCTTATGCATAACTTATTTGTTTGCTCTTAACGTCTTGGTCATGTTTTGTCTATCTCACCTTCTTTCAAGTGGGGGATTGTTGGATTTTATTAAGGTGTGAAAGAAAGTGAAATTTAAAGAAATTTATTCACATATACATTGTGAATATTTCTTTATTGGTTTTATTAATTTTTGTGTAAAGTTACACATTTGTAAATTTATTTGTTGAAGTTACATATGTATTAAAATCACATATATATTAAACTTAAATTATTTCTTAAATGAGAAGTTTTTATATTTATGTGTTAAAGTTACATATGTATAAAGGTTACATATGTGTTTACTTTTGAGTGAGAGGTTACGTGTTTGGACAACTATATATAATTGTGGATTTCTTCATTTTGAGATATCTAAGCATACTACAATTGAGTACTCTCCTCCTCTCACAAGAATTCTCTCTTCTTTTTGAGTTGTTGTTCTTGTTTGTTTTGAGAGCAAGTATCTAAGAGTTCTGCCAAATCCAAGTAGTTCGAGGTTGCAGTTCTACTGGAGTTAGTCGTTGTATCCTGCTGAGACGATCACTGTAATTTGCTAGCAACTTGTGCAGAACGAATAATTGTCTTCAGGTCAGCGCTATTGAAGCGTGCCTCGACTATTTTTTTTATCAAGTTTTGGTATTCCTTAAGTTGTTCGAATTTGTATCATTTGTAGTAAGTTATGTTGTAATCTGTTTGTTAGTATTATACAGTTCATATATATCGTGTATATTTGCCCAACATCTTTTCCTCCAATAGAGAAAAAAATTCTCCTTCGAGACATTCCAAATTCTCTCTTTGAGAGAGTTAAAAACTTGACACTTGTTTATGAAAATTTTGAGACGAAAAATGCAAATAAGAGGTAGTATAAGGAATATGAAGCTCATCTATAATGTGGGTAACCATATCCAAACTAGTATTATTGCTTAACGTAAAAGTGAACTTCTCAAAATTAATTAATTGGCTAGAGGCCCTATCGTAGGTGTGAAGAATGTCCTTTATAGTTATGTCGTCCTTTTTGGTTGCCTCGAAGAAGATAAAACTATCATATGCGAAAAATAAATGAGTTATAAAATGACAATATTTATTTTTGCGTAAACCTAAATAGTGTCAAGAAAACTCATCTTTAGTAAGGAGAGCAGAAAGACCTTTTGTACAAAATAGAAATAAATAGGATATAACGAACCTCGTTGCTGCAATCCTCTTTTTGGTTTAAAAGTCTATCTCAGCATACCATTAAGAAGGATCGAAAA